GGGTCCCCGTCCTCCTCCCAAACTTGAGGGGGGGCCTAAGTCCCATCCTGCCTGAACTGCTTCCCGCAGCGCCTGCGGAGCCGGGAGCGGCGCTGCCCCCAGCCAGCCCTGCAGCAGGGCCAGGAGAGTCCCCAGGGTCCCCCCAGGGTCCCCTCCTCTCCCGGGTCCTAACTAAAACGAGAGGAAGGGCAGAGCAGGGCTGGGCCGCCCGCGCGGCGCGGTGCCCTTCGCCCCACGCGGGCAAGCCCCAACGGCGGCAGCTCTCACACAGGAGGAGGAGGAGGAGGAGGAGGAGGAGGAGGAGGCAGGAGCTGCCCGCGTGGTTTTGCAGCCATGTGCTCCCAATGGAGCTGGTGCCCGTGTGCTCGGAATGGGGCTGGAGCAGACAGGGCTCCTGCAAGGCTGCGAGCCCAGGGAAGCGGAGGCTGCGAGCCCAGGGAAGCAGAGGCTGCAATCCCAGGGAAGCAGAGGCTGCAATCCCAGGGAAGCGGAGGCTGCGAGCCCAGGGAAGGGAGGCTGCAATCCCAGGGAAGCGGAGGCTGCAAGCCCAGACCTGCAGCAACGAGCACGGCCACTCCTGGCCCCCAGGTGCCCTAGCTGCCCTGGGGGGCTCTGCCTTGGGACACCCCTGGAGTCCTGCATCCTGCTCGGCTCCACGATCTCATTCCCAGCGCCAACACGGCCAGTGCCAACTCTAGGAGCCGCCCTCCTTCCCACCCCAGCAASCCCCTGCTCCTGCCTGGAGAACACATTGGGGCATAGGCATGAGCAGCACCCATGGACACAGGGACCCCACGCCAGCGTTGCTTATCACGGTTTATTGAGCAAAGGCGCACGGGGAGGACGGGGGGTGGCGGCAAACCGGCGCGGCGCCGGCGCCCGCGGGGGCTCAGGCCTCGCCGGGCAGCGCGGGCACGGCGGCCAGCGCGGGCAGCAGGCGGGCGTAGATGTCGATGCCGCGCAGGAAGACCCGCTCGTTGAGGAACTCGTTGTGGTCGTGCAGCAGCACCGGCGTGCGCGTCATGGGCGAGAAGCCGAGCGCAGGGTGTCCCGCCTGGGAAGAGCGGGATGAGGAGGGGGCTGCTTGCTTGGCACCCCCTGCCCTCACCACGGGTAAACTGAGGCACGGAGAGAGGAGCGGGGAGGGAAGCGCTCACCGCGCGGATGTAGCGGCTGTCGGTGGCCGCAGGGAAGATCTCCAGCTTGAGCGGCAGCTTCCTGGAATGGGGAGAGGMCACGTGGGTGTCCCCGCGCCGCCCGCCCTCGGGGACACCCCGTCCCTCCCTTGGCCACTCACATGTCCCTGCAGATGCCACTGAACGCCTTCCACCACGGGTCCGACTCCTCCGTGGACGTGATGTGCTGGTCCATGCACTTCTGCAGAGGGACACGGGGGGGTGCCGGGGACGGGGCGCCCCGAGGGGGACCCCGGGGGTCCCCGCCAGCCCTCACCTGCATGAACTCGAAGGTGACGCCGTCGCCGGCAGCGCGGCACCACGCTGCCACCTGCTCCTCGAACGCCTGCGTGGGGACACGAGGGAATGCCGGGAATGCCGGGAAGCTGCTCCCGGGCCATGCCTGGGGGGTGTCGCACCCACCTTCAGGTCCACGGTGGGGGGGATGCGGACGTCGAAGCCGACCGTCATCTCCGAGGGCACCACGTTGAAGGAGACGCCCCCCTCGAGCATGGTGAGGTTGAGCGAGGTGACGTCGCCCAAGGTCAGGCCCGTGTCGGCCTTGAGCCTGGGGGGCACCGGGGGAAGGGGATCACCCTCCGTGGGGAACGGGCTCCCCGACCACACACTGGGGTGCCCCGGGCGCCCAGAGCGGAGCCGCTGCCCCTTTCCCACCTCTGCTTCTCGCTCTCCCGGAACGCCAGGAAGGAGGTGATCACCTTGTGCTGSGGACACCGAGCGCACCGTGAGGGTCCCTCCTGCCCCACGAGCCCAGCGCTGGGGCCCGCCCGCCCCACAGCCGGCACCCCCGGCACGCACCAGCTTCTCGGCCGCCGTGTTGCTGATGAAGCGGGAGCCGTGGCCGGGGCTGCCCGTGCACCGCACTTTGATCCCTGCGGCGGCGGGAGCGGAGGCATGGAGCCCGCGGCGCCCCACGGCGCCCCACGGCACCCCGACACCCCGAGGGGCAGGGCGGCCCCGCGCCTACTCACACCAGGGGCTCTTCTCGCCGTAGAAGACGCTGAAGGTGTCGGAGGGGCTGGCCAGGCCTGGGGCGGGCACGGGGGGGACGTCAGGAGGCACACGGGTGCACAGCACGTCCCCTTGTCCCCAGGGTCCCCACGCTGCCATCCCCTGCCTTGGCACCAGAGATGGGGGTGGCAGAGGTGGGAAGCGCAGGGATGTTCCCAAGGGAGCCCAGAAGCC